GGATAGTTGGTACTACCGTGTTGATATCGAGAGAAGCAAAACCCAAGCGTCTTATTCCAGACTTTGAGAAGATGAAGACGGGCTCTAAGATATTGCGGGTTGTCAGAATCAATTGTGCAGTACAGTACACAATTGCCCAACAATACTACTACCTGCCGTATTCAACAAAAAAAAACTCCTTTCCACCAGAGTCTCAAGCACACAATGCTCTTCTTTCGATCTCGAATTTACAGTAGTCACGTTGGTTACTGGTGGTTTTTTTTTTTTATAACGCATGTATACTGTGCTGTACAATTCGTCTTGGCCGCCTACGATACAATTCCACACAACACAAGGAGGCACACAATATTCAATCCTCATCATCCCAGTTTAAAAAAAATAAAAATAGGACCCCAAACTGTCGACGTGCGGTGCCAACTCCCGGCCCGCCGTGCATTTCTTTCTCTGCATGCACAAGCACGGGATTTCCTGGGATTATTTCCTCGAGGAGACTCAGGCATACCCCGATTCCGGACCTGGCATCACGCAGAAGCGTAACTTACGCACACTTGCACCTTAGCCAACAAACGACATCGCATAGCAATACATTACAGTATCGAGCAGCCCAATTCCGGGATTTTAACCTCCCAACTCCAGTTCCCGGTCCCAACTTATAGTTGATCCATGGAAAAGTGTCTTATCATTTCGACCAATAAATCCATTGTCGGAGGCAGATAAGCAACGAGTGTATCACGCCCAGCGGTCTGGGAGCGCAGACCGATAGCGGTACTCCCACCCGGCCAAGCCGTTTCCAGCCATCCTCCAACTTCTAACTTCCGACTTCAGTCTCGCGTGCCTGTTGGCTATTATTAACTTACTTGTGCAGTGCGGTGCGTTACCGTCCTTTTTCTTCAGGAGCTGTCACTCGGGACAAATGCCTTGCTCTGGTACTGTATTCCTCCGGTTGGACAGCATATGGTAGTGCTTGAGAAACATCGTATGCTATCCCGGCACCTTTCGTATGGGTTCTTTGTCCGATCGCTCCTATTAGATACAGTACAACACCCTTTTTTTTTTCTCCCCTTCCCCTTATCCAAGATACCGGTACTGTGCTCGTTCTTGTGTCTTGCCTTGCAGTGTGAGGAGGGATCATAAGTCGTGTGCAAACGGAGCGTAGAGAGTGTGCTCTTGCCGGTTGACAGAATCGATAATCACACCTACAGTGAAGCCTCCGTTAACTACTCCACCCTCAGGTATTTTCAGGACTCCAATATTTCCATCTCTTGTAGGGAGACGAGTTTTGTTCTATGAGCTTTCCCCTTCTAAGTTCTAAGGGTTCTATTAGTTCCCCTCTGTTAGGCTGTACATGTCCCTAAATTCTAGGGTTTGTCAGTGCGAAATTATTATTTTTTCACATTATTCTCCCGCGGAGGAGAGAGTTGTCAGATAGATTTTCAGATATTGTAAAGGCCTGAAGGAGGGCAGGAAAGAAAATCAAGTACATTTCAATCTTCCTGCTGCTACCATAGACCTATAGTGTGGAAAAAAATTCCCTCTTCAATTAACATGATAGAGTTTCGAGGATATGTGTGCTTTTAGGGATAAATCCGTAATCTGGGGGAAATACACTATTTCCCCACACACGCACGAGTTGAAAATTAAATCCAGCCGTATCATGAATTATCACTCTTTTTATTCTTCAGCATTCCCTCTTCTGCCAAGCCTATTCTCTACTTCCCATCCCTCTATCACTTCCATGAGATCTAGTCTCCCAAGAGTTAGAGATAGCGGAGGTTTCACCGTAGTTCTTATCGGGAGGTGGTTTGTTTGTCGTCTGTTATTTAGTGAGTGTTGAGCCATTTTGGTTTAGTTTGCCTTAGCTAGGTTGGTTGTATAGACTTCATTCATTCCTTCGATAACGTGGACGATCTCACTACCGCATGGGTATCTCTATTATTTTACTTACTCTCCTCCCCCCCATCAAAAATAATGCAAGCTCCAGGTCAGCGTTATCTCCATCACATCACTGCATAATAGTAAATCCGCGCTCACCGGTAAGTTAGCAGCATGAGCAAGTCAGTCAGTCATCACTGATTGCACTGACCTCCTGATGATAGCACAATCACGCAAGCTGGCAGTGTCAGTCCAGCGAGAAAGTGGCTGAATTCTTACGCCGAGTATATTATCGGTGCTTTGCAAACAAGATCGGGTTACGTACAGTGCGAGCAATAGGAAAAAATAAAATGAGTGGAATGCCAACTTTTCCCGTGAGCATTGAGACGAAGGAGGATGCTATGCTCGGATGATATAATACTGCACTATAATACTATGAAGTTCGGGACCAATTTACTGGAATACAAACGACTGCGACTGCAGCTCTCGCTGGTGGGGGTGGGGTATATGTATTTACTTTAGCACCACATAGCCGGGACCCCACCCCCACCCCCAATCTGATATAAGTAGATCTCGGGCAGTGAAACTGCATCCCTGTTCACATAATAAGCATCAATTCGCAATAGCAAAACACCCCAATTTGCCACTCCTCCAAGCCACCCAGCAGCAGCAGAGAATGTCTCTTACGACCCTCCCCGCCGAACTTCTTCTCCTTATAACCTCAAACCTACCGACACGGGACATAGCAGCGCTGAGCAACACTCATCCGTACCTGACCGCAGCACTAGAACTAGCCATTTTCGGCAGTCTCCAGCATAGTACCTCTCCACACCTCTGCCGGTGGGGATATACACGGCTGCCCGACGGGGAGATGAATCACTGCTAAAACGCCTCTATTCCCAGGGAATCCTTCAAAAAATCGGTTCAGTGCCACTCCTCTGCCAGGCCATCAGAAAGATCCCTCTCATGGACCCCACTCGGGCAGTTAGCATAATAGCCACCCTGTTATCCTCATGCATATCACCAAACGCCGAGGACCCCTACAGCGCACATCCGGAATCCCCCCTGATAATAGCAATCCGACTGGGCAGCTTAGACATCCTGAAAGTGCTCCTTTCCAGGAAGGACCTAGAGATTAACACGGGTCCACGACCGGGCGCGGCAGTCCGCCTCGCCATCAAGCTCGCTGCCAGAGAAGCGGAGCCGAGTGGTGTGCTGGGAGCACTCTTCAAAGACCCCCGCACAAACACAAACGTGCGGAAATCGCGCGCGGATCAAAACCTCCTGCACTACGCTATAGAGAATGGCTCCCCGTGCGCGGTCCGAGCGCTCCTGGCGAATTCCCAGACCAACGTCAACTCCTGGGCGCCGCTGTCGAGGACTACCCCATTGATGTTCGCAATTTGGAAAGGCGCCCTGTCACCGAGCACAATCTCGCCAGATGCGAATTTAGCCAGGGCAGCGGTTCTCAGTGGCGAGACGCGCGAGGAGGAGTTTGCTGGGATGAGGGGAATGGAGGGGGGGTTCTTGAGTGAGGCCATGTGCGAGATCGTGGAATTGCTGCTGCTGGCCCATCCGAAAGTTAATGTTAATGTCTTCGATCGGTCCGGCCGGACGGCACTGCATATTGCCACGAGGATGGGTCAGTGGAAGGTGGTGGAGATGCTCCTGAGGCATGGCGCTGTAGACATAAGGGTCGTGGGTCGCGAGAAATATCTGGCTCGCTGGGAGTAAACTTGTGGCGATGTTGGAGAGGGTCGGGGATAAGGTTGTGGACTATGTTCACATTGGCAGCAGTGGCCCTTCTTAGTTAAGACAGCCTCTCAATAAACGTCTATTCCATGGAATACATTTCTTTCTCCTCCAAGTTATGATACTTCTTGGAAACACTTCCCCCGTTGGGGGCTTGGCAGCACAAGACCCCACCTTGTGCTTAAACTTGACTCACCGTATCTCGTTTGCTTGATCGAGCAACCTCAGCTGAGTATCCTACGTGGAAAACGACTTTTCGATTTCCCCAATCCGAAGTCCCCCTAATAGTATCGTTACGCATACATGGCACTTTCGTTACAATTTATGTTGTAGGAACACGACAAGTTAAGATGATCCATTGATTAATTTGAAGAGCGGGTAGAAAGGTATAATTTCAAAGTAAGAGGAGAGATCATACACTACTGGTATTTAAGGAAGCAGGCAGTGACCGCGAATATATACACATACACACAAGCAAGGAAAGCGTCCATGTGTAGCAATACATACGTGGTCCACGACGTACGCATTAATTGCTACAACAGGTATATAACAGGTATATACAACACCACACAGTGGTAAGGCCTTGGCCGTGCGATAGAAGGCAGAACTATTAATAATACAGGGAATAGCAAATCCACTTTTAGACGATCCCGAAACACACAACTCGCCGAGTGACACTTTATGAACACAGTTGCATCACACACCAACTCTCCCAATACAACAGGATCCAAAGCCGAAAAAGCCATCAACCTACTTACATCCACGTCATAAAACTACAAAAGTAGTAATAACAAAAAAAAGCAGAGGGGGGGCAGAATGGAGAGGAAAATATGGTAAAAAAACAATATCTCAAAAGAAAGTACAAGAATCAAAGTGAATATAACAATAGGTAAAGGAAATGAAAATAGAAGAGGGAGAGGAAAAGGAAAAGGCCTTCCAGGCGGCATCGCTCCCCCAATGTTAAATATTTGTCCCGGAATTCATTCCAAATTATTGACAGCCTCCCTTTACCCACCTTGTACCTCCCCTTCTGCCATGGGCACCAGAATTCCAACTTCTGCCCTCCGTCCCCACCTGCGCAAAGTCATCCGGGTCGGGAAGGGAGAAGCAGAAGAAACAAAAAACGCCAAAACATGCCACAATACCATTATGCCTTAGGAGAGCGGAGCGAGCATACAGCTATAGCGCGCAAAAAAATCATGAGCCGATGAAGAGATATATAAAAAAGAGGAGATAGTTGGTATAGGAGATGATAGAATTGAGAATACAATAAGAGAAACAATTCCGCCGGACGCTCTAGTTTATAGAGGGTAATGATAAATAAAGAAACGATAAGAATCGGAAAGGACTAGGATCATTTTCTCAATTTTTGCTGTCTAGCCGGTGTTCTGGCGTTTTGCCTCCAAGTCCTGAGGCTCTGGTTCGTGCTCGCGAGGCCGTTTGGTAGAGGTGGGGGTCGCCGGAAGTTGTGTTGAGTCTGCAGAGGCGGTGGTAATAGGGATAGGTGCAGAGACGGGTTTGGCGGCTGGAGATGGGGCATGGAGAGACGTTTGTGTGAGTGCGGATGTAACGAGAACAGGCGTAGATACCGCTGCTGAAGGACTAACAGAAGAGACACTATTGGCGGCAGCTGCTGCCGCAGCCTGTTCCTTCTGCTTCTTAGCTAGCAGCAACCTCTTGACTAGCATGGCCTTCTCCTCTGGGGAGAGGTCTTTAATGCTAATGGGAGTGGAATGTTTATTCGCCTGAGGAGCTGCAACTGGCGCGTGGTTGCTCCCAGCAGCAGTGGGAGCACTGCCAACGACATTGCTCTGGCGAGCCGTTTGAGCAACCGCGGTAGGAGTCAGAGTAGTAGCATCGATACCAACCACTGAAGCAGCAACCTCCTTCCCCTTCCCGGTTTGAATCTGCCCATGTTGTTGCTGGTACTGTTGTTGTGGCACCGGCAATCGGGTAACAGCCTTCGCAGGGGGATTAATCTGCATAATGATGGCAGACAATCTACTAATAGCTTCTATTGCACCCGGGTCACCCGGGCCTTTATTCATCAAGCTGTGCACCACTTCAGTTGCCATCTTCAGAATCTCAGGAGAGCGTGGCCCGGGCGCATCCTTGTGGTGTTGGATCAACACTTGAAGTTCAATAATCGCCTCCCTGACATCCGGGCCATATCCACCACTCTGTACATTCGCTGGAGGCTGCTGTTGTAGGGAAGGAATATGCTGCTGCTGCCTTAAACTTGCGGCACTGGGAATTGGCGCGTAGTATGCGGGAGGTAGACGGGGAGTTGGAATAATGCTGGGCGCGGGCGGAGCTTGTTGGTATTGCGGGTGCTGGGATCGGGTGTGTGGTAAGTATTGAGGGGGTTGCGGTGCAGATTGAGGTGGGGCGTCATTGCAATATTGAACTGATGGCATCTGCCCGGTCTGATCATTGCGATGGCCGTCGGAAATTCCAGATGCATGGCTTGCAGAGCTTATAGAACGAGTAGCCGCGCTACCTTTCTTCTCCTTCTCAATACTGACACCTTCTGTACAGCCCCATAGCCAACCCTTCCCGCTGCGCTCGACTTTGTAGAAAGCTCTGTGTTGACTAAGATTGTGCCTGATGCTACTCTGCCATCCGTTGGTAGTAACCCTTAATTTGTAGTAAGGATACTTCCGCTCAATGGCCTTGTAGATCTCTGGTAAAGTCAAGGCGCCTCTCTCGGAGGAGGAAATTGCCTCATGAATAAGAACGACATAAGAGGCCGAAGGTTTCAACAAAGCTTCAGGAGAAAAATCAGCCTCGTTAATTTCGGGAGAGGGACTGCGCTTCCTCTTTGGGGGTGGTTTTTCCTTCTTTGGTTTTCCCCCCTTTTCCCTCTTCGGAGATTGCTGGAAAACAGCTGGCGCAGGTTGGGCATGCTCCTGGGGCAAATCATAGGAAAGAGCGGGGTCAATCGGCATAGACATAGCTAGGTTGGCAGCCGCTAGGGGTGCAAGTTCTTGCAGGTCGTCGCGATAGGAAGAGAGATACATCTCGGTATCTTGTTGAGAATTTGCAGAATTCTCTTGTTGTGGTTGCTGAGTGGGAGATGGAGATTGTTGGAGTGGTGGTTGCAACGGAGCTTGAGTTCGCACCTCATGTTTTATACCTTTGGGAGGTCGCCCTGGACCCTTTCGTTCTTGGGTCAGAGCAGAGGGTTTTTCAGATTTGGCCGAAAGTGGAGGGGGAAGGTATAACTTCCTTTCCTTCTTGGCCTCTTCTCTGCCACCCTTCACCGACACCGGAAGATGCAATTTTTTCTTCTCTCTCTCCTTCCCCTTCTGCAATCGCTCTTTTAGACGTCGACGTTCCTCTTTTTGTTGCTGAGCTTCTGATTGTTTTTTCTCACGCTCTTTCTCAAGTTCCTTCTCCCTTCGCCCTGCTTCCAACTTTTCTCTCTTCCGTCTCTCCCTCTCCTTCTCCTTCACCTTTGTTCGCTCTGCCGCAGCTTTCTCTTTCACCAATTCTTTTCGGCGGGCTTCAGTCTGATCTTTTCGAGGTCTCCCTCGGCCGCGCTTCTCAATCTTAACGGGTTCAGGGCTTGGAGAGTCCTCCTCCCCTTCCTCTCCCAAGCATTCCACCTCCTCAGAATTCTCCACATCACCCTCATCACCCTCATCATCCTCACCCCCATCATCCTCTTCACCACTATCCTGATCACTCTCCTCTCCTCTCTCATTCTCCCCTCTGTCACCATTTCCATTTACACTATCCTCACTATCATCAACACCCATATCCGCATCGGGATCACTCAAATCACTCTCCATGCCATTATCATCATTAAAGGGAAAGGTCATTCTCCCTTTAGTACTCTTCCCCTCTCCACCCTTCCCTTTACCACCCTTCCCTTTACCACACTTCCCTTTCCCCATCCCTCCACTCACAGCAGGGGGCTCAATCACTTCTAGACCACCCTCCAAATGCTCCGGAACGTATACCACAAAGCTAACACCACCAATCTGAACCTTAGTCCCTTCCTTCGGATTGATAATAAGCTTCGTCCCCACCTGCACAAACTCTTCATTGACAAACGCGCCATTCTTGCCCATGATATCCAGTTCAAACCACCCCCGAACAGCATTGTAAGCCAACCTAGCGTGCTTACGAGATATATTCTTTTTGGGAGGAGCAGCGCTAACAACCTCCTGCTCCCCAGAAGGGTTCGGAGGGGGCAGGTAAATCATAGGTGTCTCATCTTCCTGGGTAAAGTGATTGTTATGATTGCCATACTGGAATCCGAACGGGTCTCTAAAAAGCGGTAACTGCAGCTGTCCTTGAAAAGCCGAGCCCTTGCGGGATGTGACGGGAGCAGCACTGCTCCCACCACTGGTAGTGGATTTACTTTTCTTGCTGCCCACACCATCCTTCTTCTTTCTTCGCTTCTTCTTCTCCCTTTTCATGCCCATGGCGCCTGATGTCGTCGGGTGCTCGAAGCCGAACCCGTTGCCCCCGCCAATAACCGTGCTCCCGTCCGGGCCAATCCGTTGAAAAGTGTTACTCGTAGCGCCCTCCATGCGGCCAAATATGACTGAGGAATTCTTCACGTAGTAAACGTTTCCATCATCAAAATTTAGCTTTATAAACGCGTCGATAGTATGCTCATGTTCTAGTTCCTGACTATTCTCACCGGTGCCATCAAACCCGGTTGCGTGGATGAGCTGATCCATCCTATCACGGCGTAGCTCTTCCAGTCCCGCAATCCCTGCATTAGCTGATGATCGTCGGCGATTGGGCGAGGCCGGGTCCCCTAGCTCATGCAGGGCTCCGGGTTCCACAATGGGCGATGGTGGGGGGATATCGTTGAAGATGAGCGGTCGGCAGGCCTCAGCTGCCCGACGCATGCTCTCTACTTGCTGCTGAGGCGTGGACAGTTGGGGCTGAGATACCAGTAACCTCTCTGACATATTTGGAGAGTGAAGCTGTCGTGGAGGGGGTGTAGTCATAAGCGCAGGTGAGACATCGGGAGCGGCGAGGTCGTCGGCGGTGTCGTTGGCGATGTCGTTGGCGATGTCAGTGGTGGCATTGTCGGCAGCAGTCGAAGTCGCGGCGGGGGCGGAAACCGGCGACACTCCTTCCTCAATCCCACTAGCAACGTCTTCCTCTACCTTTTCCCCTTCTTTTCTCCTTTCCTTTTTCTCCTCTAATTTTTCTGCGGGGACGTTGTTGTTACCTTTCACTTCCGGAACCCCACTTATGTCCTCCTCCACAACAGGACCCGACAGCTGGATCGTCTTGTGATTATCCGGCTCCAATGCGTCTTTGTTTTCCTCCAGAGGAGTGTCGGGTGCGCGGGTGCCATCTTTTGCATCCATATTTGCATTTGATTGAGGTAGCGCGTCCAAGCCCACAGGACTGAACGACCGACTCTCCATGATTGTATTTCTCTCGTCCCTTCTGGCGTGCAAGGAGCTGATAGTAAAAACAGCTGGATCCTGATCGGGTCAGATTCGTCACAGCAGAAACGAGCGTAGTGGTTGCTGATCGATTCGGGGAGGGTAAAGAGGAGAGGAGAGGGGGTGGTTGGTACGGATACAGATGTATGTAAAAGTGCCTGATGTGGCGAAACGGTTGTTAGAAGATTTAACTTGAAGAACTCGCTTGAACTCACTCAGTCTCCCTCGCTCACTCACTCACAAGAAAGGAAGGTATGGAAAGATGATTGATGGGGTTCCCGATTCGCCCGCAGAAAGATATCAGTGGCTTGGCGAACAGCCAAGACTTCCTAAGCTTGTTGCGGAGATCAAAACGAAGGGAAAAATGGTTCCGGCAGTACGTACCGGTATTCTATTTGAGGGTAGAGGACAAGCATGACAGGCGGGGAAAAAAAAAGAAGAGGAAGAGGAAATCTGACCGGTCCCGTACGTAGATTGTGACTTCTTATCTCTCTGAGTTCACTTATCGTGTTTTTAATCAGATTATCCTTCATGTCCCTCTCACGGGAGTCATTCTCCCCCTTCGCTACATCCCAACCGAACAATGAACCAACCAAAGCCCAATCTATCACTGTAAACCACTATCAAACACATAAATCCCCCTATAGCCCACCCATGGAGCCATCCTCTTCCTCCTTACCACCTTACACACAGCCCGGCTCCAAACTTCTCCCGCTCGACCAAATCCCATCATGCCCACCCAACACGCGAGTCCGTTTCCTTGGCTGGTACACTCCTTCTTTCCTACCCTCTCTCTTTCTTACCCTCTCTCTGCTCTCCCGGGAAAAAAAACAGCTTAAATTAATAACTATACTTAACAGCATAGCTTCCTACGATATGACAACCGCCGAACTAAGCCTATCTCGTCCCCCTTCGTCAGTCTTTATCAAGACTGACGTCTCGCTACTGACGAGCTCGCTTTCTATGGGATCTTTGAGGGATGGGGAATGGGTTAACGTTATTGGCGATACGCAGAAAGAGGAAAAGGGGGAAGGGGTGTTGGTCATGGCTATAACACTCTGGTCGGCTGGTGGAATTAACCTAGGAAAGTATGAGAAGGGGGTGAAGGGGAGGTTGGAGGCCGATGCACTTGGTTGATTGAAGAGGAGCAGTTTCGCCACCCTCCGATTCGGCATAGGCACAGGCTCCCCTCTACAATATTGTGCTGGTCAGGGGTCAGGTATCCATCGTAGGTGAATAAATCTGTGAGTTAACCCCACCCTTTTTTCCTTGTTTGCCATTGCTTCACCTTCATTTTCCCGGAGGTGTTTCCCCCTGCACCACATCGTGACCTGTTGAACGGGTTAGGGGAGTTTGGCACTGCCCATCCCATACAGTATCTCGTCTAAACATCTATACTAATATCTAGACAGAGTATATAACTGCAATAGTTGAAGACAGACAGACAAAATAATATACTCAATTACTGCGAAGCTTGATGGAACCTAAAGTCTATTCCCAATGTCGCATATTGATTTCCGAATACACCACCCAACGAGAGAACGACCCAAGGGTTCAGAACATAGCAGAAGAAAAACCTATCCCAACCCAGTCATATGCAGTCTAATAGTATAAATGAAAAAAACGCAACGGCAAAAGAAAAGAAAGCACTAATAATGTAGCTCCAACCTCACCTCCTCCCTCAACATCCCCATCTCGGATTATCCTGCCCCTCACCCAGCCACCCTTCTCTCCACCCAGCAGCCTTTCTACCAACAACCCCAACATCGATTCTCTCCTCCGCAACCTTCCCAAAGCAATCCTTCAGCACATCTAACACCACACACCCCCTGCCAATTCTCAGCCCCCGTTCATCCCCCCTTACCCACCCAACCGGGTTTCCCTGGCGTACATATATTCCCACAAATTTGCCTGCATTCCTATACACCTCACTCCCAATAGCTGCTGCGAGGAGACACAAGGCAACAGAATACAAATCCGACTGGAACGTCGGTAGTGGATGGGGAGCCGTCGTCGTCACCGCCGAGGCTCTGGAACTAGAAGTCGGAGTAACCGGTGGCGTAATCTGTGAACCAGAAGTGGAGGGCCTAGAAATGAACGACTCGAGAAGCTCAGGTGCGCAGAAGGCAGTAGTAACTGCATTCACGGCTTCAGGCAACTCCCCACCGTCGAGGTGAAAATGCCCAGATGAAAAGTCCACCACAACCGGCTCGTACAGCTTCGTCTTGCAAGCTGCCCACGCTGCATCCTCGGGATTACCACTGGTGGGACGGAATTCTCGCAGGAGGATATTACTCCACTTAACGTCCCCGTGAACAACCCCCACCCCCTTGAGCTGGGAGAAAACCGCGGCCAACCGCTCAGCCAGGAACAGCCACTGTCCCATCCCAACAACCGGCCTCCTCATATTAGCCATGACATTCCCCCCCTCTGCTTTCTCCACAACCAACTCTCGCGCCCTCCGCTCAACAAAATCCTCCAACGTTCCCATACTAACCAACTCCATGAACAACGACGAGGAGGAAACATCAAACCCACGAAACTGCGCAATCTTTAGGTCCGGAAGGGTGGTAGCCAAGTAGTGCAATATCTTAGCCTCCTTTTCAATCACTCCTCGACTAGCAGGCGTGGACGGTGTCTTCACCGCTATGTTGTGGGAACGGATAGCATACACCTTCGACCACGCACCCTCGCCGAGGAGGAATTGCCGCTGCTGGATCGTCCATGTGGACGTTGGCACGTCGATACTCGGCGGTGGCGGGATTGCGCTTAGCAGCGTTGTCGTCGAGTCTTGAGATGTGCCCGTGGAGGAGTATGAAGTAAGTGAATAGGGAGTTATCGGCGGCGTGACCTCCTGCGGTGGTGGAGGGGGGTAGAAGCATGTTGGTGGGATGATGATTGGTATCACCTTCTTTCTGGTGTTACTTTCCATTTCTCCTATCGCCGGTAGTTTATTTTCAAAAAGAAGTTTCCTTGTCTCGATGAGGAGAGGAGGCGCAAGAGGAGGAGGAACCACTATCTAAATACTTATACGTTACCAATTGCAACCCTTGAGATGAGGGGAAGGAAGGGGGAGGGGAAGAAAGAAAGAAAGAAACCTCAGACTTCACGTGGTGCGTATGTGCGTATGTGTGTAGTGAGTGTGTGTGTGGGGGGGGGGATGAGGGCAGACAAGACCTGGAAGGAGAAGGAGTCCGATTATAATATAGTCACAGCAAGCACGGTGGTAACGCCGTATGATATACCACACACTACGTTACCTCTACCCTCAGACAGGCAAGGCAAGGCAGGTATGTAGCGTTTGACAGGTAAGCGGGTGTCCGAGGTAATTCTGCGGGGGAAAAAAATGTGTTCAAGGTTGACGGACATTTGGGTGTGTATTACATTCAAATGGTGGTAATAATGATACAATTGGGAGACAGCGAAATACAGTACGAAACCAATTCTAGGTTTAGAGAACTAGTTCCGAATGCGCGTTAAAGAAGCTTGAAAATTGAAAGTTGAAAAAGAAAAAAGAGAGGGGGGGTAAAGAATCCACAAATAGGGTGATTCTTGAAAAAAATATTTGTATGATAAAGGTTGAACAGGGTGAGGAAGCCCTGGTGGTGGTGGTGGTGGTGGTGGTGCTATACACAAAGGTAAACCCTGTGCTCCCTGCGGCCCGCACAGTATGTACCATACTCGGATACTGTGCAGTATGATACAAAGAGTGAGAAAGAAATTTTTATATTAATGGTAAATACAAGGTTAGAAGGCTCAATCACTCTAACGTTAAGCTCTCAAGAGCCGCCGTGAAACATTATCCTGGCGGCAAACTCTATTTCAATGTTGCCTGTCTTCTCCAATCTACCTTGTTCCCTAAAAAAATATTAAAAAACCAACGACAACAACCCCTCCTTCCCTCCGGTCCTAACCCGCGCCCCAACACCCCCTTATGATACGAGCGTTCAATTCGGGGAGAGAGGGGGAACACCCTCTACAAATTTCCAAATAAACGGTATGATAGAGGCATTTAGGGCTCCTCCTGGTGAATTTTTTTCTTTTTCCCCCTTCTTTTTTACCCCGTCTCCTACCGTACTCCAATTTTTGTTATATGCTTCGTTGTGTGAACCATGACCATGACCAGATAAGGCTTCGAGATTCACCACTCACACAACTCACTCACCCCCGTTTGGCTTTTGAATTTTTCTTCTTGTCTTGATATTATATATAGTACTCGTCGGATGGGACGGCCGCGGAGCAAACCGACGCAATAAATGGCAATCGGGTAATCCAACCAGATTCGCCGAAATCCCGATACATGTACTCGAGTACTCATGGTTTGGAAATAAGTTAGTGACTGTTGTAGCGTTTTGGAGGGGCTCTAATAATTTTCAACGTTCAAGGCGCGCACGGCCTTTGCGGCTCTGGCTGGAGGCAAACTGGGGCAGGCAGTTTTACCCTTTAACCGAACGGGAATGACCGAGCGCACCATGCCTCGCCTGTTGTCTGAGGTAAGCACTTCTCGTCCTTCTTTGAAATCCCGGAACGCATGAATATTCATGGTCAGGATCATTGCAAAATCCGGGGGGAGATGTTATGACATCCAAAATGAGATGTAAGAAGAGCTCCTGCACACACACCTCGTTAGGTGTTTGGTGCTATTATGATCATAAGAATTGATTTCACAGCACGACTACCAATGGCCGAAAGACCCGACCGAACCCGTGGCAGGAGATAAGCATAGTGATTCGTCCAGTTTTCTGCACAACCTGCACGGGTCCCCTCACTCAAATTAGGAATTGAGATCCAATATATTGAACGCTCTATGTAGCACAATAGAAGAACTGGTCCATCATGCCGGCTAAGCAGGTGCCGGAAGAATTTCATGATGAGAGACCTCCCCATGACCCCTCAATCGTTTCAAAAGTCAACAGGGAACCCTTCGACTTAGAAACAACAACACATCGCCCCGCGGCTGGGCGATGTTTAATTGAAAAGCCTAATAGTGTTACCTAGTTGCCCGAACAAATTCTTAGCCATGAGTACCCGCATGCACCTTTAGAAACCCCGAATGGACAGTCATTTTCAATGCTCTCAGTAGAGCAGACTGGTTCGATTGGGTGTTTGTATTGAGGAAAAAGATAGTTCGCCAAGAGTAGCAAGGTTGATCGGATTAGTGCGGGAATGTTCGGGAGTGAAGTTTACCGGTTCGTTGAACACCACTCCCCAAATTCCCGAAATATCCGTGGGGGAGCGGTTAAGTGACTTGGATAAGAAGTCTGTGTTCGTTATCGCTTTTGCGCTCTGCGGGGCCGGTGGTAAACCGGGGGAACCTGATAACATTCATGGTTCATGGAAGATTTTGGTTTTGCGAGTGATATTCTATGATCGCTTTGTTCTGTGGCATCCAGGGAGACCCGTGACCACCCCCGGTCTCCAGAAGGCAGTTGAGATAAATGAAAGATATGTACTCAAGTAGAAGATAGGAGCCCGAAGAGGGAGGAAGGTGCGAAGGCTGCCTAACAAGCGCCACTAAAGACTTCCACTCACCTGCGAATAGACTATACGGTATCATCTCTTAGCATACCCAAGGGTGACATCACCGCTGTTTCTAACTCGGTCTCTCTCCTCCTATCCATCCCCAAAAGGGTTAACGTTGCCAAAGTTTTAGTTGAGTTTGGACCCTTGTAATTTACGTTTATTACGAGTGATGGCTCGTGTTCACATCACCTCCACCCCTGTTTGGATGATAGATTACCGGTGTATGAAAAAAAGTTTATCTCCCGGGATATAGCGCTCGTATCCTACAGTAGCAGACCTTCTTTCTCTAATGATTAAATATTTCAATCTTTGTATGCCCCTTGATACGAATTTTTCCGATTCGCGTGGATAAATACGGAGGGGTTCTTAGGTAACAGGGGTTCGGGAGAGCCTGCGTTTAAATGAACCGCATGGGTCTCTATGGGGGTCCTGATATGCAGGGCGCTAAAGAGAACGAGAATAATGATAGTAAGGCAAATCATTTATTCGGCATCGGCACACAAGGCCACTAAGACCTGTACGCCATCCTCATCTATGGACCAGCGAGGTATTCTGACATCGGAAAAGCTCCCGGAAAAATAATATAGTGTATTCAACGCCCACCTCTGTGGCATCTTCAATCTTCCGCCGGAGCATCATAGGGTGTAACCAGCATCTCTGAAAACTTTCTTAGTTTATCGCTTCCCCTAACCTCCTCAACAAGCAACGGGCACTTGACAACATTGAAGTCCTCATAAAGTTCCTCAATCTGCTCGAGATATTTCTTTTGCATCCTTCGTCTAGCGGTGCACTGCTCGCAGGTGGAGCCTTTTTGAGGGAAGAGGAGCTGATTGACAACAATGCTATGTGTGTCGATCTGGTAATTGTTGAGTTCCTGTATCATACGCTCCGTCTCGTATAGGGAAAGGAACTCGGGAATGCAAACACAAATGAAGCTATTTATCAAGGTCAGATATCATCTAGCGTAAACCAAGCTAACATGGCCAAGCTTCTGCTGGCGGTAGAAGGGGTGCGCTCACGTAGTAAGGTCAGGGTCCTTGAACTGCTTGGAAACTTCACCAATAACCTCTCTCATACCCTCCATTTTCTGCATCATCTCATCGACACCGCCTGGCCCACCCTGAGCTCCTAGGATACCGTTAAGCATTGGGCCGAATTTCCCGCTCAGTTGAGAGATCTTTGAGAGAGCCTTCTCCAGTACCGCGGGGAACTGGAGGAAACGCAGGGTATGGCCAGTAGGAGCGGTATCGAAAACGATGGTCGAGTACGAAAGGGACTTGACCTGCTTCAAAACTTCGGCAAAGGACATAGCTTCGTCTACTCCAGGGATCTAAAGGTAATCTGTCAACCCCCGGCGGGCTCTCGTTGAAAGCGGAAGATGACAACATACGGAAAATGCGAGATCCTGCATCATGTTCCCCAATGGGTTTTGCGAGCCCTCGGCTGGAGCAAACGTCAGACAAGCGAGAACAAGCGTTTTTTTTTTCTATTGTTATTACAGAACAGAATATTCCGAACTCACCTCCTTCGATCAGCTCCTGTATGCTACCGTTCGGATCAATCTCCATAGCACTCAGGTTCTCAAACCCCTCAATCTTCCTCGCCTCCTTGCCAAACTTCTGGTTAAAGGCATCGCTCAGATTGTGTGCGGGATCCGTAGATATCAGCAGAACGCTGTCACGGACCTTGGCAAGCTGGATAGCCAGGGAGCAAGAGGTGGTGGTCTTTCCGACTCCACCCTTCCCGCCGACGAAAATCCATCGTAAACTCTTCTGGTCGAGAATGGATTGGAGGGTGGGTTCGAGCGGGTCGAGATCCGAATCGACAAAGACAGAAGACATCTTAAAATATGAGCTGTGTGGGGGAGAAAGGGGTTTTTTTTTTTTCGAGGTGTCGATATGGTAGCTAGGCTTGATATGATGGGGTGGTAGAAATTCTTGGTGGGATAGAACTTTGTGGACAAACGTGGGGCATTGGAGACGTGGCGACCGGCAGGGATTCCGCCACACGGGTGGATGGGTTAGGCGAAATCATTTGCCGGGGTTTGTTTTTTTAAACGTCATTCTTTGTGATAAACCCTTTCACCTTCTCTAAAAATTTCTGACTGTGTCATATCGTACCACCATAGACTGGTACTCGCGCAAGCTACTCGAGTACAGTACTGTACAGTACCGGTAAAGTTCTCAGTAAGGCTCAAAAAAAAAACCCCCTTACAAAATTAATTACAAAGATAATAAATAATCGAAAGACGCGCAAATAAACGACAAGCCACAATAGAAAATGACAAGTCTCAGGAACAGGAATAGCTTCCCAAGCCGCCCGGAACAACGATAGCCTTACCACACGAGCAGCGTTTGATAGTAAAGGTCACCACTCGAAGTTTTGTGGAGCTAGACTACCGGCACTTGAGTATGCCACGAGCCATCCCCTCGAGAACCGCCAAGAAATTATGATAGTCTACCCGTACCCCCCGACCAGTCAGTCACGTGCTTTTCCCGATAAAAAAAAAAAAACCCCCCGGGTGGAGCCTGACATCTCCGCTCGGTCGGGCTGTAAATTTCATACGTATGTAGTGCGCAGAAATTCCTTTTGTATGGTATGATATGATAGACCGGAAAAACACCCTCGCGGTTGGTATACCCGTACTATCATCATACTGGTGGTTTCCGGACTCCCCTCCAACTTCTTCCATTGGCGATTTCAATTCCCCCCGGGAACTGTGGAATTCGGACGTTTTTTTTTGCTCCGCAGTGTTATGTTCATCGAAGGGCAACCGGCCGAGATGATTTACTTTACCGCTACGGTGACCGTTTCGTGCGTAGCACCTAACCTATCGTTTTTGTCGATGCGGACTTTCGCCTCCCAAGTGCTGGCGGTATGATAGTGTTCTGGAATTTATTTTTATTTTTTATTTATTTTATTCTATTTATTATTCATAGCCCTCTCAAAGGCTACGCATAGCGGAGCGGAGGGAAACCGGGTCTTGAATTATATCCCTATTAATTAATTCTCAATTGCTAGGTTCAGGTGACTTTTCCGTTTTTTTCTTCTTCTATACTTTTTCATTCTTGCTATGGAATGCCTCCCCGCCTTTCAGAAGCAAAAATGTATCACGAAAAGGATTTTGTGCGGTGGGTTGCTCTTAGTGATATCATAACTCGAAGTTTATCTCGAAAGTTGATGATGGGGTTTTTTCTTTTCTTTCTTTCAGACTTTTTGTTTTGTTCATTATCTATCGTGGAGTGGACACCCTTGCCCACCGGTAGACTACATAGGAACCACTGTGTGCTTCTGTTGCAAGTTATATGGATAGCAACAAGCACTCTCTTCTCTCGAAAAAAGTCATGGTACCAAAGATACCACGTAATTGATTGACCATCGGATGTGTTCCATGCTTATCCGTCTAACAATGCTTTCCATTTCCAGCCTTTTTGCTACTGGAAAATGCAAATATCCACTCTGCCGGAAAAGTCGGTGGTGGATTCGGTATATTTTACGAGCAAGAACTCGCCGGCCGTGGCTGCCTCCCCCCCCACCGCCCCGGGTTGATAACAGAAAAAACACCAGCTCATAACCCCAGAGGAGGAACACCAGCACTCCCCTTCAGCCTCACCACAAGGGGGTTCCCGAACACGACTTGCCACCGTGCCCAACTCTAACCCCCCCACAACCAAACGCCAAGCTAACGAACAGCAATAGGTATAATATCATATGATATCCCAGGTTAAACAACAGCACCCACAATTTCACGAACCACGATATCTGGCACACCCCCAAAAAAAACTCCCACGTCACCCAACCTTCGAGTGACACCACATGATTCCCGCGTCTCACGGAGGGAGAGGGGGGTTGAGGTGGTGGTGGGAAGGGGGGGGAAGGGAAAAATACCCAAGACAAAATCTCAATGCTTAACCTGACCACATCACTCAAATACTGTGGCGTCCAAAAGTGAGGTTCCACGGGGCGTGTATGGTAGCTAACTAGGGGTTGGCGGCTCCTTTTGCGGGAGTTGAGGACAGCCAGCTCAACGCAAGCGCTATTGTGGGAAATGTTGCTCCATGCCATGGCGGCTCCCAATCTTGGGCTTCCGGAGTACGCTCCGGGAGCAAGAATAATATCATAGCGAGTCGTGGTACTTTTTTCCCTTTTTCCTTTTTTTTCCTTCTTTCCCTTTTTTGTGATCAGCACATCGAGTTACCCCGATTCCATCGCTGTTCCGTAAGTTGAAGTCATACGTAGTCCCCACCACACTGCGCCGAACTACTCCCCATTGCCCCGGGAGTGCAATTAGACTACCGGTATCATAGTATGACACCGCCTGACAAGGATACCAAGAGTGCCACACCCAAATCCAACATGACCCAGGCAAAAATGTTATATATACAGTATATCACCGACAGCACCGCCATCCAAAACTTCACCCCACGATCCTAAAGCGTAATAACAGAGAGAGAGGCGGGGTAATCCAACCTGAACTCTATTCCCTCTCTCGGAAAAAAAAAGGGGGGGGGGAGGGGGTTGTTATATCACACAAAGTGAACCCGGTCACGCGGTGCTATCGAGGGGAAGATCTGATAGGCACTCTTACCGATGGGATAGGATAAAGAGAGAAAGGTTAGGCTGGAGTGGGATTGGCATTGCGTATGCCGTATATCAATGTGATATATCGATACCGGTACCACAGTGGTAGATTCGAATTAGTTCTTCACTCCCGGTCCCCCCCTCCCCTCCCCCCCCCTCCTCTCCTCTCCTCATTCGCATACAGTAATTCGAAATTGTTTTTCAAGATAGAAGATTGGTGGATCCACTATCACCAACGAGTGTCAGAATTCCATTGGCTAGTGCCATTTACCGGAATTTTAGAAGTCAAGAAAAGGAGGCAGGAGGAAGGGGGGGGGTGGGGGGATTCCTTCCTAACATACCGTAATGGTAATGAAAATTACCGGGAATGCGTGACTGCTGGGAAAATGTTATTAAAGGTGGGGGTGCAATCTTGGTTCAGTCAGCGCCTCCTCAATGTTTCAGTCCGATTTGAGAAGCTTTCTTTTGTTATATGTGAGGCCTTGCGGGATTCCGACTGGTAACGGTAGTTGGAGAATCTGGTGGTGGGATCTCGATCTCGCACGTCATGCTCATTTGGGGTGGTCAGGTTGGAAATACATCGCAGCGATTTTCAGGAACATATCATATACTCTAGCATTCATACATAAGGCTGATTACGGTAGGTAAGAGAAATAGGTACCGGTAGAAGGAGAGCGGAGCAGGGGCGGAGGGGGTAGAGGTCGGAGGTTAGGAGAATTTTCTGTCTATTCACGGGTCCTCATTTTCTTTCTCTCTTCCTCCCTTTCTGTCTCAGCCTTAAGAGGGGGGGCACGTTTATAATATCAAAAGGAACGATCTCATTTTTTTCGTTTGTCTCTTCTGCTCGAGTACAATTCAATCCAGGGAGGCTGAGTGGGGGTATAAAGAGACAAGGCTGTATGGAAAAACAAATCGACTTCTATAACTCGCATGACTCCAAAAACACCACCTTCCCCGCTTCCCCATACAACTAACTCCAAAAGTACAATCCAGTCGCACCATTGGCTCATCATTTCTCATTTCCTGCGCCAGACACTGATCCAATCCGTGCCCTCGCCTATCTTGTGCGTTCTCTCAGGCTTGTAGTGGAGCACCTTTTGGAAGGCGCCCATCGGGCCCCCCAAAAGTTCGTCATAAACCTCATTCTTAAGGCCCCATGGTGGCCCGCCAGTCTCAATCGGCTTGTAAAGTGGGAACTCCAAGCACACTAACAATCCACGTTGCGGGGCAAGAAGCTCAGCCATCCTCACAGCCCAGCTGCGTCGAAGAGTCGGATGAAGTGCGCACAAGAACTATCATTGAATTAGCTCCGAGTCAATTAAGACGTGGGATTTCCAAAACATACGGTATAATCATAAACCAAGTCAAATCCGCCACGGAGATCAATCTCCATTGCTTCGATCCAATCGTCTTTGAAAAAGTCACCCTCAACCATCTGAATTCTACCCCAGCGGTCAGTCTCAAGGGTTTGCCCTGAAGCAGCCTTTTCAATTTCTAGTTGGTCCGAAGCCCATTCTCGCGCCTCCTTCACGGCGGTTTTTGATATTTCGACCCCAAAGGCGTCATACCCGTGAGTCGCTAGGAGGAAAACATCGTAACCACGCCCGCATCCCTGTATCACCAATTTCTTCCATTAGTTCACGGTCTGCCCCGCAGCCCCAGAATATGCTAGGAAAAAAGGGGGAGGGATTAGTGGTGCCTACAGGGACCAGCGCTCTTTTCCTTCTCTCTCCTCTGGCCACTAAATCCTGCGCGGTGAACGAAGTATGCTGTTGTCTCTGTACCAACAAGTCCACTAACGCCGGGCTAGGGCACCCCTTATCCCATGGGATGAATTCGCCATTATCCCAAAGCTCGGCCCACTTCTCCTGATGGCGGTCTGTAGAACTATGACAGTGAAGAGGGAATTGATCTTGTATTAGTGCGGAGTAGTTTAGGGGTAGCTAGCACTGAAGAAAGGAAAAGGATTCGAGTCCTGAAACATACACAGAAAAGATTTCTCTCAAGCGCTGGCGCTCATCTGTGGGCCAGTTGTGGTCCATTGAGGCGCCTACGTTGGTCATTTTTCCGTAAGCGGAGACAATGCCGATAAGTCGCAGTAGGTTGACGGTTTTCTAAAAGAATTCCCAGGAGCAAGTAGTTGACGAAGGTTTGGGTTTTTCGAGGTTCCAAAGAGCGACGGTAGTGGCAGAAGGTAAGGTTTATAACCCCAATGCGCAGCGGACTTCAAGCAAATGACATTCAACAAGCCCTAAGGATCGTGAGCGTCATGATGTCACCGGATAGCGTCATCGAAAAGAGAAAAAAATCGTCAGAGCCGCGCTGGGAATAACGATTGAATGGGATGTTCCGATGTTTATTCCATATGCCAGGTCCCTGAACAGTTTCAAGCGATAAGCAACAATATCATGATAGGGCGTGGGGATGGAAACTGGTGACTATGTGCTGTGCTGTGCTACTTACGGTTCAAACATCCAGTTAGATCCTCTTTAAGCCTACTGAAGCCCTCGTGCTCACTAACCACGTAGGGTAGCCCAAAATGATAAAGAAAATATCATAGAAGAGTGTCAAAAATTGCACCCCTAACCCCCTCGTATTATTTTTGCTGCCTTTGCCCCTAGAACCCTGCAGAACTCCACGTCAAAGAACAAAACCATCTGCCGGTAGAAACTCCCCCCAATGCTATCGCGAATGAAATGGGATAGCCACTCTTCAAATGGTAGTAACATCCCATGCTATGCGTTGAGAGCCGGCCGAATCACAGTTGGAACGGAAAAATGCTGAGCCCAAAAGACCGGTGAAAGAACACGAGAATCTATCATAAAACCGCTAGAGGGGAGGAGTGCAGGGAGTGGAGTAGGTGAAGTAGAAAAAAGGCAAGAAAAAAAGAGGCGGGGGTAGAATAGACTTTTTGGGGAGGGGGGTATCTTTATTTTCATACGGTGGCCAGTAATTCTCCGAAACCTTATTGGCATTGATGCTTTTCTATTTTCCTTTCTCTGATCCTCACCATATCATAATAACTTAGTTTCTATTTCTTTTCTTTTTCTTCTTTTTCCTGTTGCCTTCTCTCCCCTGTACGAGCATTGTACAGTACCGGTACAATACAGTACTTCGTTGCTGATGATCTCCCGGTTGGATCAAAGTTAATCCCGGAGATCTAACAACCTGTCGCAACCGCATCACATGAAACGCTTGAGTGGATCTTGATGGCAATCGAGTAAACCTTACTATTTCTTCGTTTCCGCATATCCCCTTCACACCTAGATTCCTCAATAAAGCCGGAGGAAATGGCTTTCTTAAGTGTACCGCGATCGGATACAGCATTGTTCGGATATCGGTAATGAGCATGTCGTTGATAACGAGCGATAAGATTCGGGGAACAACATCTCCCTTGGCAAGAAACAAACCAAAGGTTCGAATTGACAAAGAAAAAGCAATATGACAGAGAAAAGAGGGCACTCCTAAAGAACCGAGGGGGCCCAACTGCCGAAGAATAATGAAAAATGTTTCGGGTGGTGAACAACTGTTTTGAAATAATGAGTAGTGTGGGATTCAATTCGTCTGTCACCTCGCAGCCTCGTTCAGGGACAGGGTTGAAACTAGCATGGCCGCACCAGTCTGCTGCTCAATAACAGTATGATGGTTTAAAGAAACCCTAATCCCCCCCAATTCCTTTCTCACGATCTAAGAAGCACTTTCCGTAAAAGTGGAAAAAGGAAGGAAAAAAGAAGTGAAAAAAGTGAAAATGGGAGAAAGGAGAAGGCAAAACGCGAGAGAGAGAAGCAAAAGTGAAGACACAGCAGTACCCGCTCCGTGATGATACCCCCTTGGCAGATAGGAGAGTTTCCCCTCGATCGGGGGGAGAGGTTAAACCATCGGGCTGGGCACAGAAACTATCGCCCGAGAGAGAGAGGAGGTTATGAATTGTTTCTTTCGTTCCACGGGGATTCCTGATGTCAGGAATTCCCCCACGATAGTGACGATGTAGCACCGGGTGAGACGCAAACGCAAGCATTCAGCCTGCATCGTGAGGGCGGGAGAGGAGGAATGGATTGTTTGATCTCTCTCCCTCTCCCTCTCTGGAGGATGGCAATACTCGAGTGCCTCCAGAGACCCTGAGGTGGGTGGAGGGTTAAAGGGAGTTAAGGGGGGTATCGGTGAGAGAGAATAGAACTACTCGTAGACGAATACAGCACCAACAATTCAAATCCAGTCTAAGCACTTTTTACATTGGAAACTTCCTTTCTTATTCAGACAAACATTATCAACCTCAGGCCCCCTCCGCCGAAAGTAAGTCCTTTAACAGATGATAGTAGTTATTACCTCCTTTGGCTCCTCTACTACCATATTAAATTTTACAATTGGCTCCTGGGCAAAAAGTCACTACCTCAAATGGTCCTCTGTCCCAAACCACCTCCCTCTTGATGAACGGAGACTTTTCGACGAAATAGGCAGTTTAACGGTGGGACAGCAGCTCCAATAAAGCACAGCAGCTAACACAGCCACATTCCCCAAACTTCCCATCACAGCCAGTCCTACGCTCCAATCTATCGACCTATGATAGAAAAAAAGTAGAAAACTTATGATACAAACACCCAAATACGAACACCATATTTCGCTACAGTATCATACCACCGGATCCTAGAAATCACCGATCCCAACTCAAGAATGATAAATAAATATGAGAACACCGGTCCGAAACGCTGGCCTGAGTTAACCCAGGGTAATATCTCAACACACATGCAGCTATCGTAGTCCTCGAAATCGCTCCTCCCTTTCACAGTCATGAAAGGGAGGAAAAAAAACCTGCACCGGAATAATTTGTGTGCACAGTTCTATCCTCACCGAAGCACCGTAACTATATAATAATTGCAGGTACTGCGAATAAACGAAAAGGCCCCTCGCCGGTTAAGAGAGATCTTCCGACGGAAGAATCTGTAGCTGCCCTTGGTTGAGAGCTCCGTAGACGGTAAAACGCAAGACGATTATTGCCGGTATGCTGGGATCATAGTACAGTTCAAATGTCAAAGACACCACCGGTAGGCGCAAGTTTTTCCCGTTATACTAGAGTGTTTGGTAGACTCCAAGTGCCAAAAGGGTTGAACCAATATTTCCCCGTGTGAATTAGGGAGATCGCCTGTGAAAATACCGGTAAGTTACCATATTTGTGGAGTGACTCGCTTGCTGCCAAATCGAGTTACTGCGCACTGCCGAGTTGGACCTGTGCTCGAAACAGAGAGTGCCTCAACTAACAACCAACTTCAACCCATCCCCGCCCCAAAAAAAACCATGCCAAATGTGACATGAGCCATCGCAAAAGAGGCTGCAGGAAAGGGGTAGAACAGAGCAAACCCGAGTTGAAGCTTAGAAGGAGTGGAGCCACTGTTTATATCATAGCTCAATGTTCCACTCTTCCACCAAAAGCAGTGTACTGTACTCAAATATTTAATGTGCATGGCAACATGGTTCAGTAGATTGCCAACCCGGCAAAACCAGCAGGCAGCCATAAACGAAGAAACCACGATCTGCTAGCCAAGGAAAAATATTTAGTCTAAAAGAAGAACAAGGAGGTCAGTAAAAATTGAGCCTTGTGAAGAGTAAATCATGGTTGATACTATAGCCAAGTATACCTCAGCATAGCAGAAACCCCCCAAAGTCTGAGCACAAAGTACTAGGACCGGTATGTATTTCCGATATCCCTTTGGCTTTATTAACGATGCGTATGACTACCCCTTTTTTAGGAATATAATTAAACATTCTACTACTAAACCCCAGGCAGTACCAGCTACGAAATAAACCAAAACAATTCAGGTCTAAGAAATAAACAGTTTCAGGAAAAAACAAAGCATTGGCGATCAGTAGGGTATTGGGAGAATATATCTACATAATATTATAACAGTAGAACACTATTCACCAATTCAATCGCCATCCAACCAAAGTTCTATTACCTCAATTATTTCCCCTAATTTCCAAAGAATACGCATATATACATAATATTATATATCAAAGTGGCCACAATATCAGTTTATGACCCATTCGAGTGAGCAGGTCAGTCTCCCTCCAGATAATAAATTTATTGAATCCCACCAGTAGCCTTAGGACCTTTCGAAACCTTACCGACCACATGTGGAACAAGTTCAGGATACTCTCAAGAACTTTGCTACCTTCCCCCCCCCGTCTGGTAGGGCATAAATATCAAAGATCTTTGACCAGCCGGCACGGATGTACTCGAGAAAGGTCGGTCAGAGGTGCCAGATGTGGATTCCCTCGGCCGAAAAAGTGAGAAGCTTCCTAACTACCCCGGGATGGGTCGGCAGAAACGGCTCGCGGGGACTGAGGCAGCCCCAAACCAAGACTGAGAGCCATAGAATGGTTATGATATGGAAAAAACAGTCCAAGTCTACCGTATGAAATGCCTCCACAGAGCAGCTAGTCGTTACAAAACGAATTAACACAGTACTCGTAACGAATTGAATAATTATCTATAAACTTCAGTTGTTTTCAACCCATGCTCCTCGTGTGGCGGGGGTGTGCACCCCGAAGCCCGGCCAAAGGCCAAAATCAGCTCAAGACCGACTCTGTGGTTGGACGAAACCCATCCCGGCAATCCCATTGCAGAGAATTGGACCTCCCCAAATATCATAGAGGTATCAGCTGGCAATGCAGACGTAAGCATCACGTCCAGTGAACGATGTAGCTTGCCCTTGTTTTCGAGGAGATGGAACGGCATAGTAATGGGTCCCAACTCATGATAAAGCATTCGGCTGGGTTAATTATGGTGCCAACCTTCCGCACAGGTATATCTGAGCCCGACGCGAGGTGCCAAGCTGGTTTCCACCAGCAATCGGTACTCGAGTGCCGGTAAATTTATCATACTATACAGCACTCGAACAGCGCTCCCTGGCCAATTTTAGGAAAAATCAAATGCCACATAAAGTGCAATAGTTCGGCTCCGAGGTCTCGCCGGCAGAATAGAGTGTAGTTACTTCGGACCGAGCAGAGAGCGCAATTACCGGTAGTAGATCGGAAAGTACTACTAAGCTTGGACAGGTTGATCTGCCGCCACCGTTGAATACCGGTCCACAGCAAGTTGAGAAACCCCTTCCGGCAGAGAGTTGCACAGATCAGGACTAACATCGAACATCCTTCCATCCTTCCATCTTTTCCAGGGGTTCGATTCTATCAAGGCTACCGGGGATACGTTAGTCCGCGGATAAGTGAGCGAGGGAGCAAGAGAGGTAGGTAGAGAGAACTGTAAAAAGAGTTACTATCGTTAGATTCTTATCCCCTGATTCGATAAACGAGGGGGATGGGGATAAAGACAGTTTTTTACGATGGTACGAATTCCTTACCGGCAGCAAGTACTCTATGTTACGCAGATGGAAGTATTATGTCCAGCGTCTATCTTAACTGCCGGTACGAGGGAGCCAGGACTCTCACGAGAGAAAAGAAAAAGAAAGAAAAAGGTAACCTGTGATCGAGCACTCATTCACTCCCCCCCTCCGTCTCTTACGGTACCGGTACCATATTTAAAAGTTGAAACAGCCCAAACCTTTCGCGCTAAAAAGATCTGCGCATCTCGGGGTGACCCGCCATGAATACTTTAAATTAGCGAGGTCTAGATAGGGAAACACTTGTCCACAAGTGTCGAATTTCCAGCTTGGCCGAGACCAGACAGCGGGGTTTACCGTGCTGTGCTCGAGTACTCGAGTAACGCCGTAGCAAACGGTGAGTAGTCCAGCCCTAGCCCCAAATTATTCAAGTGGGTCTTTGTGGATGCTGGTGACCTGGTCCATCGGTCTCCGGCCACTAAGAAACTCCCGTCCTCTTCCATTCTCCTCAGTCTCAAACAAGGCCCCCAAAGGCCAGCTCTGCATCTCCTGTGGCCCTCAACATATATCACCCGGTACACACCAAAAGTGCCGCCAAAATTGACAAAAGCAGAGTGGGGGTCTTTTGTACTCGTACTTCTATGTGGGTTTCGCACACACCTTTCTCTTTGGCCCCCCACAAAAACACTGCATTGGATTTATTGCCCTCCTTGCTCGCTTATTTAAGGTATCGCACCGCAGCATAGCCTGCTAGATCATGCAGATTTCGCGCAGTTAGTCTTCCCGGTGGGGTGAAAGTTTTTGCGGACAGCTGCGACGGGACTGGAAAATCATACGTAGGAATCCGGCATGGAGGGGGGCAAAGGTGGAGTGGGGACTGATATACCGGCAGTAGCGTCGGTGAACCCCAAGGAAAGGGTTGTTCAATAAAAGGAGGTTGGATTCCCACCCCATTCTATCACCCCCCGCGTTCCTTCCGCAAATCTTCCTCTAAATTCTCCTCCAGCTTATAGGTTCCAAAGAGGCAGAAGGAGACATCCTCCTTTGTGGGTTGGTTTATCTTCTGCCGAATTCCTTCCCTCCGCAGAACCCGCGCACTATGCATCATATGAGACGACATATGAGATCTGGCTTTTGATGGATAAGCCGGGCCCCGTTTTGGGGAATAATACCATCAGCCGTATGTTTGATCCAGCAATTTCAACCCGTATTGACAGAGCAGAATACCCCCCGAAGGGTGATCCGAGGATAAATAATTGGGATCAATAAGCCTCTCCTCTTCTCCTAGGACTGTCGAACCGATAACTCAGCTAGATAATATAACCAAAACCCTTTGGGCGGCCCTAGACTCGGATATTGTCTCCAGCATCAAAAGTTTTGCCACTAATACAAGTCTTTGCACAAATCAGCTAAGCGTTAAGCTCAAGTGTGGGCACTGCTAGAAACTCACGTATATATATACTCCTGATTCACAGATTATCGTTCGTTTTCAGAGGTTGTATACATGTTTGTGCTATATCCATGGTCTCACCAACCCCAGAACAGTCTTATTTTATCTCTTTTGCGTCAGCTAACACCGGGGAAGACTCGAGTGATATCTAGGCTCGGGAATGTCAAGTGCAGATGTCGTTTGTTTAAAGGATGAAGTGGCGGTACCCTGCCTGTATTCACTTTCGCCCTAACCCTAGAATAAAGTCAGACTTAAGCATGCACGCTATCTACAATATCGAAAGTTTATTTTTAATCACTAACATTAGGGAACAAACCCGGAAGATGCCATTCCTCCCGCATTGCCGGTACCCCTATCACATACCTAAGAACGGAAGAATCGAAAAGGCCTCGAGGTTCCGATGAGCTTCAACCTTAGCCGTTGTCCTACCCACATTGTCTAAATTGATGAAAGCATCCTAGACATCCCGATGGTTACAAACTTCATGAACTAGAAACTTCCTGGATGACCCAAGGACTCTCTTTCCTGCCCTGGGTTCTACTAGTATCCTAGTATCAAAAGGAGTATCAAAAGGATGCCATTACCCCAATTATCGACCCTTTTTCCGTTCAGGACATGAATTACGCAGGACCACAAAATGGACGGTGGACAAAAGGTTCCTTGAATCAGTATCCCGAAGCTCGGGAGACATGCAACCCTAGATGCCCAGGGATGTGATACAGGGGTGGGCATTCAGCTAGATTTCTCCAGGGAAATTGAACGCCATCGTGGGTTAATCTTCCAGGAGGCATGGGATCGCTATCGCTCCCCCTGGCCACGGGAATGCCTCCGAGTCACCGGCTGCTCGAGATGTTCAACCGGACCAAGCTCAATGTGGAAAATATCGGATCCTAGTTCTTACCGGGGTTACGTCGGGGCCACCGCTGTTCTAGATGACGAAAAGCGCATCCCATGGCCATGCTTGGATCTTGTCCGTCAGATGGAATTACATTTTTCTGGGTTGTCATAACTTGGGGTTGGCTCTGCGATCAGCAATCCGGCTTTCGCAATTTATGCGAAGTATTCAACCAGCCAGAATCCAACAAGCAATGTCGTTTATGCGTTAGAAAACGAAGGTTTATTGGTGAACTAGAATAGATAATCCGAAATATTTGACTACCTTATACAGAGTGCTCAGCTCAACTCTTACCGGGCATCTGGGATGCGTGGGCTCTCTTGGCACACCGGTTCCAATCTAATGGTTGTTCCAAATATGGGACTAGTTCCCCTCTAGCAAATCTACCATAGTTCGCATCGAGCGACATGAAAGCCTCAGTCTACCCCCCCCCCCAATCAGATTCTACTATAATATGTGCTCTGTGGGAGGTCTTAGGACTAAGACTTTGGGACCCCGTTCAGCTTTATCACCATTCAGCTTAGCCAGGTATGCGGAGCGTCACACGTGGGGAGAAAAGGGATAGGGGAGGTCCTGCACTGGTGGACTCGCTGAGAAAAATGAGGGGCACGGGTCTGGGTCAGTCAAATGTGGGAGTGCCTCTACCTGGCTGTTCTACCACCTTCACGAACCCGTCCTGTGGCCTGGGGGGTAAAGGGTAGGATATGGCCTAAACAGTGGCTGTCAACAATCTCTAAATCGAATAAGCCATGCGGAGTATCGACTATTCCAGGAGCTTCATGTTTTGAGTGCTCCCGAAAGCTAACCCTCTCACTAGCCCGACTAGTAGTTTATCAACGATTCCACCTTGCCGCCAAGGGCGTTTGAACAAGCACCCTGCAAAAATAAAATAAAATAGAACAGTTTGTGAGGTTCGTAACTCAAGTAGTTAAACGGCAATTTCTAGTTTGCATTCGACCGCAGCAATTCTGATTCAAGGCAGCTCTATCACACTTATTCCTCTCTATCCGACGCATAAATTGAAAGAATCGATTCTCAGAAAGGCAGCTTATCATTGGGGACGCGCGCGTTACCCAGGGTGATGGATTCCAATACCATCCGAGCCACAAAATAGCATTAGTATGTTTTTATCCCTGTCTGGAGCAACTGGGGAAACGATGCAGGACGCTCATACGAGAATATGCACTCTACTCGTACAAGAGACCCGCATGAATTTGCGTCCAACCTCACATGGCAACAAGTGGCTGGGACTTGCCGCAGCCGGCCCAATTCGCTCCTCCAATAACTTACTTCAGAGGCGCATCAAGGAATATTCTACCACCCCCGCATCCCAGGCGCCGTCCCCAACACCGTTTAGGCGATGTGCATTGCGGTGTCACCCTTCACCAGTCAATATGATTTGCGTCACATTTGAGTCGACCCTACTTTCCTCAACTTGTTCTGCAGGAACGTCCAACATCTCAGTCCTTGCACTACGCCCCGAACTTCCATTTCACTCGTGCTGCGCTATAGGTACTATCAATATGCAAAATTCGAGAGAAGGAAAAAAAAAAACACCACGCCCAAATCAGGAATAACACGAGGAAAAGAAAAGGTGCAAACAATAAATTTATCAGCATGGCCGGGGAAGTCTTGTTTCTCCAGCCCTCGCATTATTGGAGACATCCATACACACGCTGGAGGGGACGTCGAGTAATGCTCAAAAGCAATGCGCAAGATATTGCGACATACACAACTCACCCTATGAAAAGAAAAAAAAAATTTGTCGCGAAAAGAATCATTCCCCCAATTTTTTTACACACCAGCCCGAACGCCTTTACTCGTCCCGGACTCATCCAACCTCTTCAACACATCCACACTTCCGTGTGTCAACCCCCACCGAACACCCTCGAGGGTATTTTCCACTACAGCAACCAATCCTGCAGTTCGCCTATATCCGCCGGCACGCGGTAAACTCTCCCAACTGTCAGTGGACATCTGCCCCAGGTACACACGCATATCTTGGTGAGCATCCCACATCGCCTTGTCGTCTGACGCCTCAGATAATCCCCCTGGCCCGACGACCGAGGATGAAAATTGCCCATACGCCCAGCAGACCAAAGTTGCTATGTACATGCACCACGGAACATGAAGCAAATCAAGATAGACGTGCGTGCGATCCAATGACCTAACCAGAATCTGCGCCGCGTGCCATGTAGCGAGTTGTGCGGATCTGCTGTTTGCCCATTGCTGAAGCTCCGCCTTTGCTCTGTAGTAGTCGCCCCTCTCTGGGTTCCTCTTGAAGGTCCGGGTATCCCCGGCCACGGTAGTCAGGTTGTGGATGTTTGTGTGTAGAGAGATGTAGGCGGCATGGTACATGACCATGTTCTTGTTGTTACAGGATTGGGACAAGTGTTGGCTCACATTCATCTCGTAGTAAGTCGCCCACTTCTCGTATGCCCTCAACAGCCTGGCCTGCTTCGCAGCTGTCTCTTCGGGGCTCGGGCCGATGGGCGATGATCTCCTGTGAAGGTCGTAGCCAACCGATATCAAGCCGTGCAGAATGAACATCGAGCTAAGCGGCGACAGCACGGGAAACTGCCTCTTGGGGTCGAGGAAGACGCGCAGCATCTCCAGGAAGCTTGGGTGCTCCTGCTGCCCGTCGAGGTATCCCACCCATTCGTGCGAGGAATCCGCATTCCAGAGGAACTCTTCGCATGGCAGGTGCAGCACGCGAAGATCAAAGGCCGTCTGGCACATGTCTCGACCGAACATCGTGGCCTGCTGTACGTCCCAGTAGAAGAATAGCAGAGCGACTCTGTTCAATTGTGCTCCATCGCGCACACGCCCAAAAATGTCAACCTTTGATCACCACTTTCAACCTAGTTTCTGGTTTTTCTTTTTTCGTATGTTCTCATACGAAAAAAAAAAAGAAAAACCTGGTTTTTGGTTTTTTTACAACCAGTTCTTTATTTCCTTCTTCTTTCTTCGGGTTTTCAGTTTTTTAACCAACCTCTTTTGTGACTCTAGTTCTATCCAGTGCTGCCACTCACTGTCGTAATTGAACTCCATTCCATCCCTATGGTAGCGCCGCACCTGCTCTAACGGATCCGTTGTGGGTATCTCACTTCGTCGTAAAAGCTGCAAAAGAAAAATAATTCTAGTCAGAACGCCAATTACAAGAAATATAGAAAGAAGGTGAGGCAGAGGGAGAGCGCAGAGCAAGCAGTCATAAAGGATCTTTAAGGAAGACTTTACCTTCATCAGTATCACGTCGAGGGGCGCCCCGTCAAACTGAGACCTCATACACCTCATTTTCCCAAATATGTCCGTCAATAATATAGCCTGCTGGAAACAGGTACTGCTCGGGTCATGCGCTGTAAAGTCGTCTGACTGCTAAGTGGCGTCAACCTACACCTTTCTGACCCGGAAGGTAGATGAAGTGCAAAGCTTTCCTCTCCTTCCAGTCTTTACAAAGACGAGAATAAGGGCAAAGAAACGCAAGTAACCAGGATGGGAAGAAATGGGAAGTATCGTACGTTCAGAATCAACCCTTTGACTTTATCATACAAAGCCATACCAAACTGGTGCGCCTCGTCATCTGCAAACGAAGCCCCTATTGCGATCACTATAGCAGCTAGCATGACCAGCTGCATGCCTGGCAGGAACGTCGGCCTGTGTAGCACTGGGTATATTGGATGAAACTTTGTCCAGTAGAGTCTAAGGTAGTATTGCATCGAGGAGGTACTTGCGTAGGCACTAGAGTGCAAATTTGGCACGTTACCTAGCATCATCAATATCTGGGACCTCATCCTCTCGTCGATGGGGTGGAATGCCAGCGCCGACTCGCTCTTCACATTATCATATGCTGTCCGATCACTGCTATTGTTGTTGTTGCCGCTGCCCCCTCCACTACCATGTATCGGTATGTTTCGATAGTGAGCCGTTTCTAAAGGGCTGAGGTAGTGCAGGGACTCCTGGTTCCGGTTCATATCCATTAGTGCCTGATCCTGGGACGGGCTCTCATCAAATAGCCATGCATAGTTCTCCCACGTTGGCATCGGTTTTGCGTACAGTTGGCTGTCAATAGATAGGGCTGGGGGTCGCTGGAGTATCTCTGGGTGTGACGAGACAATGAATGGCTCTGGCTGTCTCGCTGGTTCGCTATGCTGTAAGTGGAAAGGAAGGTGGGCCCTCCTCAAGCTCCCTGGCGGAGAGTTCGTTGATTCCCCTGATGGATAGTCTAAAGCAGACTCCATCCCATGGGGGGATATCGGCATAGTTGTCGAGAAGGTCGATCCGTAACTTGCCATGGACGTCGAGGAATGGGGAGTTACAAGTGAAGATGCAGAGGGGGAAGATTGATGTGGAGAATGAGGTGTTAGTATCTGGGGCAAAGTGTTCACATCTGTATGAACTCGAGGAGATGGATGTGGGTTGGAATCAAAGACATGAGCATTTCCTCCATAGTCACTGGTCGGCGGTGGGCGAGCCGAAATTCCATTAATTCCATTAATCCCATACCGGGCCACAAATCCTGTGTGTCTTTGAGCAAGAGCTAATGTTTGGACGGCTTTCATTGCTTGAGTTGCACTGCAAGGTTATCGTCAGTGGTCACTTTTAGCCTTGAGAAGCCAAGGGAGAGAAACAGGCTTACTGTCGCTCCGTGTGGCGTGAAAGCAGGTCTTGCCGGACAAACGTTCGTTCACACATTTCACATTTGTAAAACACCTCTGTGCTGTGGTTCAACTGATGTCGCCTGTTTTTTTGTTTGTTCGATCTGAATTAGCTCCCTCATAAAAAAACGGTCATCTAAAAAAGCAAGTTATATTCTGTGTTTGCTACCGTAAATGTTCCGCTCTTGTGAAAACCTATTATCCCAGAAAGGATATCGAATGTAAGTTTTCCCGCCTATTGCAACATGACATAGTAGTCACATATAAGGGCCAAATAGAAAAGGTACAGACGAGACATACCTTATCACAGCCCGGATGATTGCAGGCGTGCACCCGTTTCCCCTTCTTTGCACGGCTTACCCGTTGCGTTGGGGTTGTCCCATCTTTCAAAGAGGAAGTTGATATAGTCGCCATAGTGACCTGAGAAGTCGTCGCCGTAACCTTGGAAGGTGTCGATGTCTTCTTCTTAGCTGCGGTTCGGTTTGGTTTTGTGGTGGCCCCCAATGTTACCGGGGAGGAAATAGAGGTGGCAGCGGTAGTGCCAGTTGAAGTAGAAGAAGGGCTCTTGGAAGATGGGGTGTCCGATGTAGGAGATGTGGAAGAAGATGACCTAGGTGTAAATAATTGAGGCGGGGAAGGCTGCTTTACATGGGCCGTGTCATGGATCCGCTCATCACTCGAACTGATCCCTCGACCGCGTGCTGAGGTTTGCCCATCTGCCATGATTGACGGATGCAATTGTGATAGAGCTTTTTATCCGGCTGTCCCTGTTCACTTCCTTTTCTTCCCCTAACTCCAGGTCAGCCCTGCGAGTCGTCTCTCTCTTCCGGGTTCCGGGGCTGTCTAACGGCGGGTCGACTTGGGCAAGATACTGTCAATTTAAAAAAAAAAAAAAAAAAAAAAAAAAGATAAATAAATAAATAAAAGAAACACCCGGAGTGAGGGGGAGGGGGAGGGGGTGTGGTTTGAAAGAGGACGGGCGGAGAATTCGGCTGAGTTGTGAGAGTAAACGAGCTCAAAGAGCCTAGATAATTGTAGGTTTCTCGGGAGGAATGAAGATCTAAGCCTGGGAAGAGAGCGGCGAAGAATAGCAACAGAAAACGCCTCAAGGGAAACTATGGGGTTCGCCAGTCCGTGCTACTTTTCTAAGCTTCTTGCACACCACTCCTCAACCTCCTCCTCCCTTGCTCTTATTTCCTTCTTTTGCTCCCTCCCCTCCCCCTCACCCCACTCTCCTGCTTCTCACTCCCTCTCTGTGGAGTATCACTCCGTATCATCAGATCTCTAAACTCCTGTTGCCTCCTCCCGTCGCATACACCGATCGGCCGGAAGTGATTAGAGCGTTAGAAAGATCCTAAAAGTGAGCAGAACAGAGAGCACCAGAAACGGCACTGTAGAGTACCTGTGGACACTCGTCATGGAAAGTGGCTCTGATTGTGCCCCGGTCTGCACCCGTATCAGCATTGTGTTTCTGGGGCCAAAAAAATTAAAAAAATACCCGTCCGATGTGTGGAGGAAGAGCCACACACATTCAAATCTGTAAATGCGGCTGAGTTATCGGATCGACGAATTTCACTCCGAATTATCGTACTGGTGGGAAAGTGAACAGCCTCACATCTGCATACCCCTAAGAGGGAGGAGGGAGACTATCGAGTCTTTTCCAGCAGGCGTCGAGCAACCCCCCCTTCCCCTTCCTTCTCCCCTCTCTCCACATCATATCACATCACCCCCCTCCCCCGGTTCCTCATCCTTCTACTCCTTACGCCTATCCACGCACGTATCCCTCACTCCATCAAGAATTCCACCTTGGTCCCTCTCCCGTTTTGGAACGTCGTTGACCAGGGGCCAGGAAGGGTATCCTATGCACGTCTGAGTGTGTGTGTGAAAGTTGTTGGTGCGCTGCTGGGCGGGTACACACACAACCTGTCGGTCAGCTGGGGGGGAGCGGTAAGTGTGTGAGTGAGAGTGTGCGTGTGTGTGCGCGTACGAAGGTGGTTAGCCGCCAAGAAGTGTAGAGAACAACTGCTTATCGCCCTGGTTGATATCATAGGATTGGCCTTGTAAGCGGAGCTGTTGCCTGTACAGTACTGTACTGTATATTGGTAAAACGGCTAGGAGGGAAGAGAGTGCCGGTAGGACTACTCGAGTAGTGGAATGCTTTTCGCGGCTTCCCCAAATAGTAGAAATACCCTACAAGTACTCGTACATACCACCCGATGCCGGCAAAGTACACGGAAAAAGAGAAGCCGAACTATAAAGGTACCATAGCATTCTTAACACTTCATCACTTTTTCTGACAATAATAGGATTGTTTCGGCGGATTGATGGGGGTTCGTAAATGGGATGTATGGAATCCCTTGTTCTATGATACAGCAATGGCGCCCGAACTGGAGGGGCATGGAGGTCAGAAACAACAATCCCCAGGTAGCGATGCTTCCATCTTCCTTCTACAGGTGTTCCTTCGGGAAGGGGATGGGGGGGTGGAGGTTATTGGGGGTGAAAAGTTATGGGTTTACTCTACTACTCTACTCTGGTTGGTATGGGATATTCTTGCAGAATTGTTACACAGGCCGCAGTCTTGACAAAAGTGCAATGGTTGTCTCTGGAATCACGCTTCTTTGGTCATCCGCGCGTGCAGGGGAACCACCCGAGGACACATGCAAAGTGCAGACCCGTCAGGCGGGGGGGAGGGTGTGTGGGGTGAAAGCGATTGATCCCAGACCCCATGCATTCTTGACTATGATATTATTATCATATTATTATGATGGCTTATGGGATAGAGATGAACCCCTCGACGCTATTTTCTATTAAGGACATTCCTCTACAATTGCCCAAAATATTATTTTCTTTATTCTCTACCGATGCCTTACCATAATATTAATAATAATAATACTTTGTAATAACGATGGACAAATCAACAATCCCGGGTTCACAAGGTTACTGGATGGCACTGTGCCATGGCCCTAAGAGGAGAGCCGTAACTCCGGTAACTGTAAATTTCTCGCATCCAGACAAAATGTAACCGACCCATTCCCATTACTGTACCCCCCCCTAGCGGATCCTGGCGGTTGAGGGCCACCAATGGAGGTCCCACCTGCAAATTCCAGCGCTTACAGCATATCTTCCCAAAGAACTGTCTTTGGAAATCCATTCCTTTTCTTGGTCTGCATGGTTTCTCGGGTCATCACCTCTGTTGTTGGACACCAACTCAAAGCTGTGGTTGAACTTGTGCTCCAGAAAACCTTACTGCATTTAAAGTAATCCCCAAATGCTTCTTCTTTCCCGCTTACGTGCGATTCCCCTACAATACGCGCACCTCTACGCTCCCAATGCTCCCCCCCAAATACTGCACACCTCTTCTTCTCGAGTGTTAGGTCTTTGATCGTACGATGGCTCGCGGGGTGCAGCAGCACTGGCGCGCCCGTTAAAAGGGAAGGGCCGCACCGCTGCCCTAGACCCTGTGGGCAGACAGATATGTTGATTGGACGAAAAAGGCGTGGGCGCGTTGCCAACGAACCAAACTTTTGGCAAGCGAGGCTACAAGAGGGTTGCATGTTTTCAAAAATAGAGATCACCGAGCCTTCTTCCAGCTCCTCCTCCCTTACTGCCGTGCCTGTAAAGGGAATAGAGGGAGAGGGAGAGGGAGAGTGGAAAAGCGAGAAGGAGCGGGAAGGGGGGAAAGATGTGCTGGAGCGCCTCTTCGAACTTTCCTTATTGCGTCCTATTTGTTGCCTCTCTCGTCAGTTTGTGAAGTATCATGCATCACCAAGCAACTCGCTCTGAACCCCTGATAAACTACGGTGATACCGTGGGGAAATCGCCCGCGGCTAGAAGGAGGCTCGAAGAAGGGAGCCGTGAGTGGCTAAGTGGCGTGGGAATTCAAGAGTGCAAAAGGAATGCGACACCATATTAAGAAAACGATATATCAGCGAGCACCGGTGAGCGAGGTGCTCAAAGCCTCAAACCAACCGGTATGATAGTTGAGCCTTTTTTTTTACACCGAACCCTAATGTTACTCACTCCACACTCCTCGAACCTGACGCCAGGTTCGGCAATGAGAGAAATTATAATACTAAACAATAATTCTTATTTTTATTTTTTTACCGATATCCTAAGGAGTTGTACAAGTATGACCCTATTTCGTGTGTGTGACCCCGGAGGTGAAAAAGGAAAGGCCTACGACTTTGCGGAGATATTTCATCCTATAGGGGTGTGCATACGCATTTGGCGTCTTTTGCACACCGCGCCCCGCCCTGGCTAGCGCTTGAGGGACCGATCACTTGGCTTTTCTTTCCCTCATTTGTGTCGTACGCGGGAAGTATCAACTAAGGAGAGCAGCAGCATCTCGCCTCAATGGCAGCTACAGTTGGTCAGAGAACCGAGATTCAAATCTTTCCGGGGGGGAAAGGAAAGAAGAAGAAGAAAAAAAAACGCCCCTTTCCCCCATCTCCACCCCTTCCAAAAAAGAAAACAGGAACAAGCTTATCGTGAACTCTACTCGAGTACTCGTACCGGTACTTGTACTCTCGTACAGTACAGTAGGGTATCTGTGCGATACAACAGTGTCCCATTCCCGGGTTCGCGAGTGGGCTTTGCCATGCGGACGAAGGCGAGACATTTCATGATGTTGTATCA